ATAAATAAAATAAATAAATAAATGTAGGCAGCACACAAAACCACGCACCCTCCGGTCCGCGGAAAAACCTCTCTCCACGGAACCGGTCCCCGGTGCCCAAAAGGTTGGGGACCTCTGTGCTAGGGAGAAGGAACAAGCACAAAACCCAGACAGTCTGAAACACCACACCCACGGCCGGGCGACTACGGAGAAACAATGATATTTTAGCCTGCTGCTCTCAAACCGACGCTGGTGCAGTCTTTTTGTGACCTCACCGCAATCCTACCCCAAAGGCCGAAGTGGCCAGGCGCGGGATCGCAAGCCGAATGGCCGGCCGGCCGCCAGCTGCCTTCACCTGTCTTGTCCGAATTGCAGAGGATGGTCTCCTTCTCCTTGGCCCCGGGGCCGTGCCTCATCCAGACGGAAATCACAAACGGCTCCTTCAGGCTGATGCTGACCACGCTCTCCGGCACCTTCACGGCTTGGGTGCCGTTGAACTCGAAGACCTGGTCGCTTTCGTGGCCGTTGTCGGTGGGGAGGTTGACGGTCCAGTTGGCCACGTTGCTCGGGGAAGGGAGCAGCTCCGCGGTGTCCGAGGAAGCGCCTGCAATGCCAGGAGTGAGACACCGTAAAAGAGCAGGCCGGTTTTTGCATCAAAGATGCAGATCTGCTGCTAGACATTCCTTCCGGTAGGGAAATTCTGATTCTCGCCATTCTCACGTTCACGTTTGCTGAGTAAAAGACCGCGTATCTTACCTGGCATCTTCGTTTGTCTGGTCTGGGGGGGGGGACATTAGGTACCCACGGAGAGAAAGGCCTCTGTGCCTCTTTTCAACACCCATGCCGCAGCCGAGAGAGGCTCACCCAGCCCGACACACACATACACACCCCCAAGAAGCCGGGAATCTTTCTGCTTACCGCAGAGCCGGTGCAGGGACTTCTCCGAGTAGGTGTCTCGGTCGCAGCCTTTCCCAATGTGATTGGTCTCCAGCTCGACGGTGGCCTGGACGGAGGAGATGGGCTCGTCGCAGGTCTCCAGGTGGATGTTGGGGAAGAGGGAAAGCGCCCCTGTCCCGGGTTCGTATTCCACCCTTTTGCTCCAGCCTGAAACCATCAACAGAAACGTTGCAGCCAGCAGCAGCCTTTGGGGCCTGAAGCAGCAAGCAAGGAGCTTTTTTGGGGGGGGAAAGGGGGGGACACAAGACTAACCCTGCCAGCCTGGTTTGCAGGTGGGTTTAATGCTGATCTTCACCAGCACGTCCTCGGCCGCCCTCTTCTTCCCGCAGTCGTAGGCCGTGACGGTGAGCTTGTACTGGTGCTCCTTGCTGAAGCTCAGCTTCTCCGTGTTCTTAATGTATCCTGGAAAAGGCAGGAGTCGGGGTTAAAAAATACAGAGCGGGCCCTGCCACGGTGAATTAGCCGGTCGCAAATAAAAAGGACTGGCACCCCTGCATTGAGAGGGGGAGGGGGAATTGTGATGATCCCTCCCCCAAAGTGAGGATGGGATGGGTTTGAGGTCCTTCCCTCTAAGGCAGCTCTGTGGCCTGCCAACTTCTCGGGTACAAGCCCGGCCCTCTGTCGTGGCCTTTGGCTCACTTAGCAATAGCAACAGCACTTATATAGCGCTTCACAGGGCTTTACAGCCCTCTCTATGTGATTTACAGAGTCAGCTTATGGGCCCCCCAACAATCTGGGTCTTCATTTTACCGACCTCGGAAGGATGGAAGGCTGAATCGACCATGAGCAGTCAGGATCGAACTGCTGGCAGTGGGCAGAGTTTAGCCTGCAATTCTGTATTCTAACCACTGTGCCACCAGGCTGCCTGCCTGCCTGCCTTCCTTCCTTCCTCTTTCCTTCACAAGCAATAGCACTTATATACAGCTTCATAGTTCTTTTACAGCCCTCTCTAAGCGGTTTATAGAGTTGGCCTATTGCCCGCCCAACAATTTGGGTTCTTATTTTACCGACCTCGAAAGGATGGAAGGCTGAGTCAACCGTGAGCCGGTCAGGATCGAACTGCTGGCAGTGGGCAGAGTTTAGCCTGCAATTCTGTATTCTAACCACCTTCCTTCCTTCCTTCCTTCCTTCCTTCCTTCCTTCCTTCCTTCCTTCCTTCCTTCCTTCCTCTCTCTTTCCTTCACAAGCAATAGCACTTAGACTTATATACCGCTTCATAGTTCTTTTACAGCCCTCTCTAAGCAGTTTATAGAGCTGGCCTATTGCCCCCCCAACAATCTGGGTCCTCATTTTACCGACCTTGGAAGGATGGAAGGATGAGTCAGCTTTGAGCCGGTCAGGATCGAACTGCTGTCAGTGGGCAGAATTTAGCTTGCAATACTGCATTCTAACCACCGGGCCACCACGACTCTTGACAGGGATCTGGGCCAAAGGGACTCGGGCCACTATCCAAAATGCCTTCTGTTACAAGCCAGCCAGCCGTCTGCCTTACCGTCTTTGTCGATTGCAAAGGGAACCTCCGGAGTGACAATCTCGTAACTGCAGATCTGGCTGAACTGCGGGGAACAGTCGGCATCCACCGCCTCCACCTTCAGGATGTTGTCGTACCGCTTCCCCTCGATTGCCGTGGCCTTGTAGGACTTCTCCTTGAAGACTGGCGCATACTCGTTGACATCGTTCACCTGGATGTGCACGGTGGCTCTGGGAACAGAGGGTCAGACTGCTATTTGCACCACTCAGGTGACCTTGAGGACACAGATAAGCCTCCAGGTGGCCTCAACGACTCTCTAAAAATGCAAATGACCAGCTGACTGCAAGGAATATCAATCCTTCCATTCCCCAAGAGGGAGTCAAGCTATTCTCTAAAGCGCCTGAAGGCAGGACAAGAAGCAATGGGTGGAAACGCATCAAGGAGAGAAGCAACCTAGAACTAAGGAGAAATTTCCTGACAGTTAGAACAATTAACCAGTGGAACAACCTGCCTCCAGAAGCGGTGAATGCTCCAACACTGGAAGTTTTTAAGAGGAAACTGGACAACCATTTGTCTGAAATGGTATAGGGTTTCCTGCCTGAGCAGGGGGTTGGACTAGATGACCTCCAAGATCCCTTCCAACTTTATTATTATTGTTGTTGTTATTGTCTTAGAAAAAAACCCAAGTCCAGTTGCCTCGTGAAAAAGCACCTTTGGGACTGAAGGACAGATTCTTTATCAAGGGGAAAATTCTGAACTGGAGACACACAAAGGCTAGTGTTAGCAGGGCCTGGGAATTAGAGAAGACGACCGCTGAACCGATAGTCTTCAGCAAACAACTCCCATCACTTGGGCTCAGTTTCCTGTTGGTCTTTCATCCACTGACTCTCCAGAGTTAACTCTACTTTACTTTTGGGTGTACTCTACTTTACATTGGGCCAAAGGGAGCTGGCTACCACCGGACGTTACGATGACGAAAAAGAGAAGATCCCTTGGAATCTAACCTACTTTAAGGCGGAGATGGGGGAGCTGAAGACCCAGTGTCTCTCAGCCCTGTCCATTTTGAGATGTATGGACTTCGACTCCCAGAATTCCCCGGACACCGCGGCCAATGGGGAAGGAGGCTGGCTAGCATTTCTGCGTACAGATGAACAGCCCTGGAGTTCTTCCTGTTGTAGTGACAGCTCTGAATGTTTGATTTTTTTCAACTATAAGCAGCAGGCCTTATTAAGCGATCAATTATGGCAGTTAAAGAAAGGAAGGGTGGGGGCTCCATTAGCTGGAGCAGACAGCTTTTATTACAGCATCACCCCCCTAAATTTGTCAAGCTGCAGGCCAATTGTCTAATTTCTCCTGGGCAAGAATTTTAAAAGGTCAAAGCAGGGGAATGGGAGGGAGGTATAACAACCTGCTACCTTAAGAGTCACCTCCAGACTCTCCTATTAGGGAAAAATCAGACCAGAGATATTCAAAATTCTTTTGCATCTGAAGTTCATGAGAAAAAACGTAAGATCTGTTTAGAAAGCATCAAGGGATGCCCATGTATCAGAAATTAAAACCTAATTGGGGGGTTGGGGAGATGTACCCTTGTATATCCTGACTCTAGCTGCAGATATGTCTTGCTTTCTGTCCTTTCAGCAGAGTAAGCAACCTTCTAAAAAAAAAAAATCCATCGTTATCTTTCGGATTTCTTGAACCTTTCTGAAAAAGATGCTTGGATCAGCTTCTCTGTCCTGCCGAAAAGACTCGGGATGTGTTAAGATCACTGTGGATCAGCAAAAGCCAAAGGAACGCATGTCATCAGAGGAGCTGTACCATAAAGCATAATGCAGACAAGGTTTTTTTTTCCACGCCAGGACAAGAGAGAGAGAGAGGGAGGGAGGGAGGGGGAAAGAGAGAGAGAAGGGGGGAGAGAGGGAGAGAGAGAGAGAGAGAGAGAGAGAGAGAGAGAGAGAGAGAGAGAGAGAGAGAGAGAGAGAGAGAGAGAGAGAGAGAGAGAGAGAGAGATGGATGGAAAATACTCTAAAGGTTAATGTGCAAATTCTTAAAATAAGATTGCTTCTGTTCCATAAATCCTGCAAGGGAAGCAACCTGCACATCGGTCAGAGCCGTTGACCTCCATCAGTTACATCAAGTGTTCTGTTCCCTTTTACAAACCAGGATCTCAAAGCTGATTTAATTCCTCCAAAGTGGTTATTCTGAGCACCAAGCAAACGCGCAAGAAGGAAACCTGATCCATGCTCCAGCAAATGACCCTTTCTGACTTGGAACGCTTGCGCCAAGACGCAACCGGGGCGCGCTCTCTTCCGTCACTGTGCCTTTCGGCGCAGGAACCACACACCCATCTCCCACGGGTATTTAAAAAAAAGCAGAAACCAGATCCATTTGCGGAAAGCAAAGCGTATTTCCAATTAGGACTTCCTTTCTCCCGCCCACTGCTTACTTGTGAGACTTCTTCATATTGACTCGGTCCGGTCCTGTCCCGCAATCGTAGGCCTGGATGGTGAAGGTGTATTCCTTCTGCAGCTCGCAGTCCAGTTTTTCTTTGGATCGGATCATCCCTTCCCCGGTGGATTTATCCACCACCACCGCTTCGAAGGGGACATTTTGCCCGTGAATTTTAAATCCACAAATCTCACCTAAGAGAGGCAAAGGAAGCTCGGATTAGTCTCTTTCGGACAGCCGGGACCGGGAAGACGGATCTCGAACGGGGATGGCGTGCACGAGGAGAGACACACACACACACGTGTGAATTTGGAACAAGTATCACTCAACCGGTTTAGCAGCCAGGGGTTTTGTGAGGGGGGACAAAGCAAAAGGAACGTGTGTTTGGGCCGTCCTGGGAACTTTTAGTCCGTGTTTGGAAAAAAGGGAAGAAACAGGCAGACATCTGGATCGCCAAGCAATTAATTCCCTTTGCATTCACTCATGCAGGAGGACATTGCAAAAGAGAAGGCAGGCATTTCACAGGAGCACGTGGGAAAGAAACTCCAGGGCAGAGAAGTCGAGTTCCCGGAAACAGGAGCAGAGAGCCCGGAAGCATAAATGGTCAAAAGCCACTGGGAATAAATGCTGGCTGGGCCTCCTCATGTTTTTTGACCAGAGCAGTTAAAAAACACTCCCTTGTCAAATCAAGGAAGGGGAGAGGGGGAGTGAGGTGGGGGGGCAAGATTTTCAACTGGATGCAGAAGATTCAGCACTTGTCATTCACCAAAATTCTGTCACGTGATGGGGGGGGGAAGAGTCTTCCTGTGCAATGTATCTGATACATATATATATATATTTTTAAAAATGAAAGAACAGCAGAAGTAATCGGGGAACCAAAAGGAACTATCGGAGGAGAAAAAGCAGAAATACCAATTTTTCAGGCATCCATTTCAATAGCACTAAGGCAGTAACTCTCTCCCTGCTTTTTTCCTTGATCGTTTCCCTCTTGGCAGACTGGAAAATCCGCCAGGACGGAGGCTTGTGAGAAGCACACAAGTCACGGCATCCACACATTCCGCTGAACAGGCATGCTGTGTCAACCCAAATGTTCCAGGAAACTACAGCTGGCAGACTGGTGCATCGGGATATCCAACTCCAGTTTATCTCTTCCTGCTAGGGCGCCTTCCGATCTATTTCCCCCCCCCCCAGGAAAAGGATGATCCAGGGGCTAATCCCGAATCGAACTCCCATCTCCGTGCCTCAAGGTCAAGGGGACAGAGCTGGCAGGTTCTCTGCAAAGCCACGCTCAGTTGAAAACTATCAATTTATCCACTGACCAATTCGGCAGCGGAGAGGCAGCGCTGCGCTCCGGAGAGGACCCGGAGGGTGGAATTCGGTTTACAAAACTGGGAATTTTTAAATGCCCGGCAGACGGAGTTCTCTCTTCCCTAACTGCAGTCAAGAATGACTGCATTGCCAGTTCTGCCAACTTTTACCAGGCACGCCATCTTCGTCAACTTAAGCGGAAACGACACGGATCCCTTGGAAAAATGACGCCGCCCTTAAGAAGGGGCTCGGCTAGGCCATGTTTTCAAACCACCGGCCGCCTAAATCTCTCCAAATGGATGATCTGATTTACCGATATTTCCAGCCAAGGATGATAAAACGAGGTTTTTCTATTGATATATATATATATTTTAAAAGACGGGATTGGGGGAAGCCAAGGAGAGGGCAGGGAGGAGAAGCGGAGAGGCCGAGAAAGTGGGTGGATAACTCAGGGCCGAAAAGCATGACAGGATCTTCTCGTTTAAGTGCCGATTCCCCCATGTCATAGCCAAAAGTTAGTGGGTTAATATTGATAAAACGGGATACAAAGAGGCCTTTGTCACCTTCCTTGCTGAGGGTCAGCTCAAAACTCTCTAAAGGGAGAAAAGATAAACCCAAGTCTTCAGGAAAGACTGAAAAAAGGAGGAAACGAGGAAAAGGTCAAAACACGTAGACATTGGATCGAAAACCTTTGAGCAACAACGAAATAAAAAATACCCCCAAATTTAAATGCTGCGCTCAAGCATAAATGCACCAGAATCCCCAGCCCCCTCCCCCCAAAATATTCAATTCCCACTTTTTTTTTCAAGCCCAGAAACCAGGGGATGCTTAGAGGAAGGCCCCAGGCATACTTTGGAAGGAGGTCACCTAGTTTCCGCAACAATTTAGATGCTGCAGTGAGTTCCAATCTCATTTTCAAATAATGCGTAAAGCCAACTTGGGGGGGGTCTCGGATACCACTCGGCCTTCCCGCCTGTTTGGCCGTATTGTTCCCACACTTTGCAGAATGTCTAGGAGCCTCAGATGTTATCTATCTCAAGTTCAGATTTTTATTTTATTTTTTAATTGTTGACCCTCTTGGGATAGTCCTTGCCAATCTAGATCAGTGGTTCTCAACCTTTTTAATGCCGCGACCCCAACCAGTCGTAAGTCAAGGACTAAACCGGTCGTAAGTCAAGGACTAAACCGGTCGTAAGTCGAGGACTAAACCGGTCGTAAGTCGAGGACTACCCAACAGGTCGTAAGTCGAGGACTTTCCCTGCCCGGGAGCGCCGCACATGCATGGTTCCGCCCCCTGTGCCGGCCGAGGCGTAGCTGGCAAGCGGCAGAGACGGAGCAGGCCGACCACCAGCTGGCCCAGCCCAAGGGAGGTAAGGCACCCGCCGGAAAAGGGGGAAAAATGACGGACAAAAAAAATGGCGGACAAAAAAATGGCGGACAGCCTTGCTTGGCGACCCCCGTGAAATGGTCGATTGACCCCAAATGGGGTCCCGACCCACAGGTTGAGAACCACTGATCTAGATGCTCTTCAAAGGAACAGCTGTCAATTCTAAGCTAGGCCGTGACCCGCACCCGACGAGGAATTGCTTTTGACAGCAACTGACTCATTTCAGACTGGCTCTATGGAGGTTCTCCATCCTCTGGATCCTGGTTGTCCCAGAAGTACTTTTTCCAAGAGGCAACTGGACTTAATCTTGTTTTTCTTTGAAGACATCCCGCTTCTCGTCCCAGAAGCTTCTCTGGAGAGCTGATGAAAAGCGAAACGACTCCAGAGAAAAAACAGGGACGTCCAGTTGCCTCCTGAAATAGCACTTCTGGTTCAGACTGGCCCAAACTGGGGTGGGGAAAAAAAAAAAGACTTGAATGAAGATGCTTGAGTAGGCTCAACGTGAGTGATGCTAACCACAGTGCCTTGCTTGAAGGTCTGTCGTGGAAAATGGATCAAAACTCTACGTTGGCTGTCAGGATTAGGAAAACCCAGAGCCGCAGAGCGTGGCAATGTCTCACTGGCTTAAAAAGGGTTACCCAAATTTACGACAGATGGACATTTCTTCATCGTTAGCCAAGAGAGGCAGGATGGACCTCTTCAGCTTTTTAGCTCTCTGCTCCTCAACGAAGCCTCCCTTCGTTGCCGCGTTTCTGGAACGCTTTTGACCTGCTTTTGTAAGTGCTTCATCTGTCAGGGCTGACGCAGCTTCGTCCGTCCACGGGAGAGAGGGAACAGGCTGGGAAAAGGACACTATGCCCTCAAAAGTGGAGTTTGCAAGGTCTTCTGCCCTTGAGCCCGTCCCGACGCAAACAGTGGAGGACAGAACATTCTTTCTCTAATATATATTCCAGGGGAATCTCAAAAAAAAACCCCAAATTACGGAGACGTTTCAAAAAGCAATTTACGATACGTCAGAGGCCTGCTGCTTACGCCTTATCTAAATCGTCCTGCGCCATGAAAGGAGAACAGCTCTTTGAATTTAGCCCTTGATTTCATTCGGGGCAGATTGAAAACAGGTCTGAAAATCCAGTCTCTGGCAGAGGATGTTTAGTAACAGCCTTCCTCACAGGGTGTGCTACATTTTGTTCTGTTTTGCTCAGTTATGATATCCTAATCTGTATTCTGTAATTTTCTTCCAGAGAACTCCAGGTGCCACGAAAAAGATTCTTAGTCATATCCTACCCTGGCAATCATCAAGCACGAATCTGTTTAGCTTTGGAAGGCTGTCTTCAAGAATGTGCCTTCAAACAAGGCCGCCAGCAGCGTTCAGTAGCTTTTGAAAATTAGCAGCATTATAAAGCTTTGATTTGCAAAGTTTCCCTTGTTCGCTTGCTTTGACATTTCTTACCAACGTAGATTGCCAAAGCAGCTTCGTTCCTCAATTTGGGTTGAGCTCAGCCTTAGATCTGTTGGAAAACTTAGGTCTTGGAAAACACCATCTTCCCAAGGGCCAGCCTTTGCTTTGATGGGAAATCCACATTCAAGAGGAAACTAAACCTGCAAACAGCTGCTGTAAAGGGCACAAGGTATCTAAAAGGGACGTTTTTTCCTAAGCCAGCTCTTGTATCCCAACCAAATTGCAAAATCGGAAGGAGCATTAAATCTAACATGTTCTGAACGTATTGTGTTTTTAAGGCCTTACGTAATGCAGAGATCTCAAAATCCGAAGGGTTTTCCCCCCGTACATTCAAGCCACTTTTATCTCTTTGAAACTGTGAATAATATTGTTATGTCCAAAAGGGGGAGGAGGAAGAAAAATCCTAAAAGAATTTGAAGTTTTGCTTTGATTAGAAAGATGTGAATTCAAGGCCAGAGAAAGAATACAAGCCCTAATGAACAATAGCCACCGTCTTTACAAATCCCTTGAGTTATTTTTTTTTAATCTGGCAGTGACTGGCCCAAGAGCACCCAGTTAGTTTCATGCTAAGGTGGGACTAGAACTCACAGTCTCCTAGTGATTGGCCCAAAGTCACCCAGCCAGCTTTTGCGCCTAAAGGTGGAACTAGAACTCACTGACTCCCAGTTTCTAGCCTGATACCTTCACTATTACACCAAGCTGGCTCTAGGCCTCACTCTCTATCCCGGGGGTCTTCAAACTTGGCCCTTTGATGACTTGTGGACTTCAACTCCCAGAATTCCTCAGCCAGGCACTCTGGGAGTTGAAGTCCACAAGTCATCAAAGGGCCAAGTTGGAAGACCACTGCTCTATCCAAACATCTTATCCCTCTTCACGGGGAATGGTCTGCAGGCATTCATCTCCTGAGTATAGCCCCTTCCTTTTTCAGAGGGGACGTGTGGATTCGGCCATTTAACACTGCCCCAAGATCCAAAGCTGCTTGGTTCTTGAGAACTTACAGTCCCCAACCGGCCCAATAACTTGGAGGGAAGAGGCCAGGCTAGGAAAGCATGCTGTGTAAAAAAAGGCGAGAGGGTACAGGGATAGAGAACTTGATCTGGGGTTTGCAGCCAAGCCAGGAATTGGCTTGGCCGATCAAAATGGAAATCCAATCACGGGCAGGTGGTTCTCTGGCTTTTTGGCACGTCAGGCTGGAAAACCAGGCTGAAGGGGGCCAAAGATTTTCCGTAACAAAAGACCGATGCTGACAAATTTCCAATTTAAAGCTTGCGTGAATAGTTATGAATGCCACATGCTCTCCTGCATGTAATCTCCTTATGTCCAATGAAGCCGAGAGGCTTGATCGTCCCTTTATTGATTCGAGTTCGCTTTACAGCGGATTGCTGGCGGCCCCTCACACAATGGAGCTGTGGCAAATAAAAAGTCGGGGCTAGTTGCAACTGGACACACACACACACACCCCAGCCTTTCTTGATTACACGCCCCAGTGGATACATCCCCAGTTTGAGTTTCACGCTATTCCAAAACCCACGGGCCAAATCTTCACACATGAACTGTATTCAAAATTAACTATTCCAGCAAATATATTCCTGGCTTCACTGCACCAATTTCTCCAGAACCCAACCCGGTTTTACCATTTTGCCTTTCTCCCATACGTATAGTGGGTCTATTATGGGATAACTACACATACTTTTCCACGTCAAAGGGACCTTGGTTTTGAAGGAAGGCCTCCACCAAACACTAATTAAATAAATGCAAGCTCCCCTACTGTCAAAGCTGCAAATACTGTATATTCTTGCTTTGACACCTACCTGCAAAGCGAAGCGGCGAATCTTTATCCAGTGCTATCAAGGGAGGGTCCAGGAGCACTGTGTTGTCGTTTTCGGTAACAATGCCATGGTAAGTGGTTTCAATCCACGGCTTGTGCTTGTTAACTGTAAAACCAATGAACAGAACAAGATTAATAAGAGACTGAGGGCAACGGCCTATCCCAAATGTTTTCTGCCGGGGCTGCATCTCACCTATCCGAGCTTCGCGAGTTGACGGCCTGACATTGGCGTGGGCAGTGGAGGGGAGACGGAAAGAGTGGAAAGTAAAGAGGAAGAAAAAGGGGGATGGAAGCTCAGCTTAGCCCAGGTGAGAAGCTACAGCCAGCCCAGGTCAAAAGTAAGGAGATGCAGAGCTGGGAACTGATCACCTGTTTCCTAAACAATACGCAAGCACCTGATTGAACATTTACCAGGGATGGCGGCTTTCCTTTGTGTTGTTTGTGTGCGAAAACCTCAGCATCAGCTTCTGCTACCTTCTGTAACCATTTAAGCTTTTCACTCTTGGCAAAATTAAACGGCCAGGAGTCTTTCTTTGCTAGATGACCAAGGGGGATGGTTGACATTTTCATTTATTTAATCCTGTGTCTGTGATTCAAGATATTACTCTGGGAAGCAAAATCCAGATTAAGGAGGCCCATCTCATTATCACCCACCCCTTCGTCGACTCTCCTCTGGATCAGGGCTTTTCAACCTTTTCGGCCATTGTACCACTTTTAGGATATGGCAACATACGAGTACCACCAGTCGCCTAGCAAGGGGTCAAAAACTTGATGACCCCACCCCCAAAAAACAGGAAAAAAGAGATGAAGTACAGGTAGTCCTCGACTTACAACAGTTTGCTTAGTGACTGTTCGAAGTTACAATGGCACCCCCAAGCCACAGCCGAGCAAGACACCTGTTTGCCCGCCTGGCCGCGCTCATCCTCCTGTCCGAGGTTTTCATTGTTGTGAGCATTTCTGTTGAGGATTGGCAGCAGAGGTGGGGTGGGGGATGTTTGGTTTTTATTCCTGTCTGCTGGGTGGTTGCAGCAGATTTTGGTCACTTCACATGACCCTGGGACATTGTGATTGTCATAAATATGAATCAGTTGCCAAGCATCTGAATGTAAATCACAAGACCCTGGAGAGGCTGCAACATTCCAGCTGATTGGTGCTTCTTCAGGGCTCAGCAGAAGCACCAGGATCAGTGCCGAGCACCAGCTGGAGCCTGGCACTGATCCTGGCGCTTCCACTGAGCCCTGACAGCCCTGCAGCTCCAGCCATCTCTTGCTCAGGCTTGTGCGGTGCTGCCACCGGTTCAGCTCATTCCCTTCCCCCGCTACTTTTCTAGGATGGTCGCGTACGACCTGCCAGGTGCCAATGTACCACAGGTGGTACCCGTACCACTGGTTGAAAAGCCCTGCTCTGGATGACCGTCCTCTACGTGGGACTGCGCTGGGAGACTCCACAGAAGCTACAGCTAGTCCAGTTGCAAATGGGCTATTCCAGGCGTTGGCTATCACCTAAAGAGCCCTTCGGGGCCAGGTTATTTGTGAGATTGCCCATCTCCAGTTATTTCTATCCACCCCGCAAGATTTGATAGGCTTGGTATGCTCCAGGTCTCTTCTATTAAAGAGATGCTGTGAAGGAACCTGGTCATATCATAGCATCTGCGCTGTGGAACAGCCTAGCTGGCAAGATCAGAATGTCACACCCAACTCTACCTGGCTCTAAATTGTGGAGACACCGCATGAGGCTTTAACTGCACTTTGTGTTAGAGGGTTCAGGTATTTAGATGACGGTCACTGCCCAGAATTTCATGGCGAGTGGGCAATACTAAATCCTGAACATCCAGATAGAACTAGGATTCTCATAAGCTGCCACAGACAAGGTACGGCCTTGTCTTTCTTTGGCATCCGCCATTGCCACCATCCCGCCAGTCTTTAACAAAGATGAATTACGTCGGTCTGCAGGCAGCACGGCACAAAGAAGGTTGGTTATATTAAATGAGACATGTTCTCTTCATAAAGGATAATAATATAATGTCCCAGCTGAAAGTCTGCAGAGTCTGTTCCCAGAATAAATTGAAAGATTAGGGCTTTTTTTGTTGTTGAAAAAAAAAATGTCTTTTATCCTACCAATAGGTTTTGTCATTTAAGATTTAATGCAGTCTTTGGAGGGGTGACAGCCTTCAAGCTGCTCCTGGAGCACTGAAAATAGCATAAGGCTTTATCTAAAAAAAGGCTAATGCAGGAGAGGGAGAGAAAGAACCCGTATTGATTAGGTGAAAAGGAAAATTGCACCCAGAGGTCAAGTGCTTCAGGTCTGTTTAGGGCAGGGGTAGGCAACCTGGGCTCTTTTAGGACTCGTGGACTTCAACTCCCAGAATTCCTGAGCCAACATGGCTCAGCTTGGAAACCTCTCCCTTTCCCCTCAGCATGGCTGGCTGAGGAATTCTGGGAGTTGAAGTCCACGAGTCATAAAAGAGCTGAGGTTGCCTACCCCTGCTCTAGTGCCTTTTTTTTGCCAATTTGAGGTGGCATTCCCAATCTTTGCACGGGCATAAAGCTACTCCATGAGTTGGGTTTCAGGGATCCTCAAGAAGTGGGAGGAAGGAGGTGAGGTTCTGAAGAAAACTGAAGCCCCAGACCTGCAAAGCAATCCTAATTTACTGCTGGTTTAGGTTCAGGGCCCCCAGAAACATGACAAGTTGCTCAGAATCCGCTTCGCAGTTATTGCTCCCGTTTATAACCTCTTCATTTTTAACAACCCGTGTGGAAAAAAAGAAAAAAGAAAAAACCTATTCAGCCTGGAATGAAGAACAGCTAAAATGCCAAACTTCATCTGTTGGTATTTAACTGGCGAGCAGCAAACACCGATTGTTAATTACTATTTATCGTTTCAGTTCCGCATTCTCTTGACTGCTGAAATTTGGTTGGGAAAAAACAAACAACCCCCTCTTTATTTTATTTTATTTCAGGTGTTTTTCTCAGACATCAGAGAAGAAGGCATCAAGCAAAAACATCTTTCCTAAAGCACAAAAGCTTTGAAGGAGGGGGGGGGGGGGAAACCTCAACACATAAGTTATAAAATTAAGAGCCAGGTGAATGAATGTCATCACAAAAATAGGGATGGGTCTTGGAGACTAGGGCTTGTTCCCTTAGTCCAGTGTTTCTCAACCTTGACAATTTTAAGGCATGTGGACTTCAACTCCCAGAATTCCACAGCCAGCATTGCTGGCTGTGGAATTCTGGGAGTTGAAGTCCACATGCCTTAAAATTGTCAAGGTTGAGAAACACTGTGGCTTAGCCTCTTATGGCAAATAAAAAACAACAAATGAACAATGATGGTTCAGAAATCTTTGCTTCTCATTCCCCTGCATTGCAAATCACTCAACCTAGACAGATATAAGTATTCATTTTTCTTTCTTTCTTTCTCTTTCTTTCTTTCCTTTCTCTCTTTCCTTCTTTCTTTCTTTCCTTCTTTCCTTCTTTCTTTCTTTCTTTCTTTCTTCAAAGCTATCTAAAAGGCAGTAGTTTTCTGCAAGCTTCAGGAGAGCAGTGTTAAGCATTAACTTTGCTATAAAACACTCAAGGTTTCTCCTCTGAAAGTGCCTTTTAAAGGCAAGTTTCTCATGCCCAAACAAAAGTCTTCTCCAGCAGCGTTTCTGCTGCGTTGAGAACCACAGACAGCAAAAAATGCAGCAGCGAACAGGGGAAGCCTCATTGCTACAGAACAAGCCATCATGAGATGGGACACCTATTTAAAAGGAAACAATCCCTGGTGGAAATTTAAGATCCATCCTGGGCCAAATTTCACAACTGCCACCAACAATACCTGCAAGTCCGAGAAGGGACTGAATCCCAACGTAGATGTGAAATAAATTCCAAACACCAGCCAACAATCAGAATAGCGCTGGAAGGGACCTTGGAGGTCTTCTAGTCCAACCCCTTACAAAAGCAGGAGATCCTACAAATTCTCGACAAATGGCTGTCCGGTCTCTTCTTAAAACCCTCCAGTGATGGAGCATCCACAACTTCTGGAGGGAAACTGTTCCACTGGTTGATTGTCCTCACTGTTAGGAAGTTTCTCCTTAATTCCAGGTTGCTTCTCTCTTTGATTAGTTTCCATCCGTTGCTTCCTGTCTTGTCTTCTGCTCCTTTGGAAAATAAATTGACCCTCTCTTCTTTGTGGCAGCCCCTCATATACCGGAATGCTGCTATCATGTCACCCTTAGTCCTTCTTTTCAAACAAGGAAACCCAACTTTGTTAAAGCTAGAGGCTACGGAATTGTCTCCTCTAGTTAATCCTAAAGATTAAAACATATAATCTTCTCTCCCAGCTTCCAGTTTTAAGTCAGCAATTCACTATAGTATAGACAGCTTGAGGGGAAAAATAATAATTTGTAAAAAGAGCTGACTATCATGGGGATCATCCTGCCTAAAGTTCCTAAAAAAAACCCCAAAGGTAATGATTGGGAGGATAAGAGCTGCTCCCCAAATCAATGCATTGATCCAGAAGACTAATCTATAGGAGGAGGTTAATGATTCCAGTGCCACTCCATGGTGAATTGGCAGAAGATGGAGGATGTGATTAAATCCCTGTTCGTATCTTGCATCTAATTTATTTTTTTTCAACACAGACTTGCGTCTAGAGACTGCAAATCGTTCTTGTAGTTATGGGCCGAAGGCCAGTGTATATTCTTCCCAGATTTATTTGCAAAAACTGCTCAGCGTTTAAAGAAAGAATTCTTATTAACCTGCCTTCTGCACTCATGCTTACATTAGGCCATCATTCAAAGATGATAAAGTGCTGAGAGGCATCATCTAACAGCCCTTTTGCATTCAGGATCCCTTCCCACAGTTGCAGGTAGAACATTATAGCTCATTCTGGGAGGAAGCAAGAGGCATTCTGGCCCAGTTATTTCTTCTTAATAAATCAAAGTTATTCCTGTAGCACTAGAAAAAGCTGTTCTGGGATAAAGCTGCTCAGTCATTCAAAGTTTGCCTCAGCAATTTTTGTCCTCTCAATATCCCACACTAAGGCAAGTATTGTTCCAGAATTTAGCCTCTGCCTTTATTGCATCCATAACCTTTAAAAGGACAAGCTTCAAAAAAAGGGAAAAAA